CTAGAGGCTCATATCCATGAGCAGCATTAAGAGTAACTAGATAGTCGCACCCGAGCGTACGGCGCGTCTCATTCCGCGCGCGCCTCAAAGAGCCATCAGACCACCACGGATGGGGCCCAATAGGGATGATGCCGATTCGGAGTCGCGGAGAACCTAACGGGTTACCGAGGCTCCGGCTCGACGTGCAAGAGAAGAAACGGGGTGGTTTTTAGTCAGTAACAGTCTGACACTACCTCCCGCCTCACCCAGGCGGGAGCAGTCATTCGATGACTTCCCCCCCTTAAAAAAACCAGACAGTCGCCACGTCGCGTGTCGCGGAATGCTGCTTATGAATATGAGCCTATAGCATGGCTTGAAGCTAGCCAAGTTCCTCGTCATAGTAACAAAAATTGTAGTTCTAAATCTCTGTGTAATGAACAATTTATATCTGTAAACGCACCCAAGACAAGAGACAATTCAGAAAAGAATCTTTATGACATTTTAATATAGTAACGCTCGAATACTGAAAGGCTACTAAATTTTAAATTGCGCTTAATATACCTAGTTCTGTCACTACAAATTTTATGTAAAAAACAGAAAGATTTTTTTAAGGGCCGAAAATTATGAATGACTTTTCCCGCCTGGGTTTGACGGTAGGGAGTGTCAGACTCTTACTGACTAAAAACCACCCCGTTCCTTCTGCTGCACATCGAGCCGGAGCCCCGGTTACCCGTTAGGTTCTCCGCGACAAAAGACAGAGATGGCACGATATTTAAAATTGGGTAGCCTTTCAGTATTCGGGCGTAAGTGATGATGGTCAGTTTTTTGTCTCTTTTTATCATAAAAAATGTTACTTCATTAGTGATGCAATATGGAGTAAATTATTACTACTGGCATTTTTGATGCTAGCTTGTCTACTATATAAAAATAAGTCGGGGTTTCCTCCCTGACGCTACAACTCTGGAACGCACGAACCGATTTCCAGGGTTTTGCATTCGTTGGAAATGCTCCGTGAGGTTTATAACAAAGAAAATTCACTTTTATTCACCAAACGTTAAATATCTGGTGGCGAAACAGAATTCACCGAGTTTGCTAGTATTTTATAACTATGTATTTTAACTCGTCGAGTACCGGTTTTGTAGACACAATTATAGAACAATAGGTTGCGGTCACCGGTGACCGCTTGGTGTTTGACAGTTTAATTCAAAGACTGTTCATTTTTAATGTTGTAAGGAAGAGACTAGCTATAGATTTGAATGGCAATTTTTTGTTTTGTGATATTTAGTTAAATAGATTTCAATACAAACATACAAGTAACGAATTAAACAACATTATGATCGGTCCAGCCGTTTTTCCTCTTTAATAAAACGTGGCCCCACATTAGGATTTTCTCCTGTGTCGTCGGTTTGTTTTAGAGTTATAAATGGTGTACCTAAATACAGTCGGTTGCAGACCAAGAGCTAAGCTAATTTAGCTTAGTTCGCAAAGCCGACGCAGTTTTCCTTACTTGTCACATACATTAACTAAAATCGCGGGTTCCTCACGTGAATATACTGAGAAAAGCTCGTATTGCTTTCAAACCACAGAGAGGTTCTTCTCAGTATATTCACGTGAGTAACCCGCGATTTTAGTTAATTTAGTATGTCTTACGATAGTTAAGTTAAGTTAGATATAAACACTTGTCACATAGTTTGCGATCTGAACACAAGTATGAAAAACTGCGTCGGCTATGCGAAATAGGCTAGAGTAACTTAGCTATGATTTTGGTCTGCAACGGGCTTTATTGAGACTGTTTTATTTGTGAAAGAAATCGGAGACAATTAGCTAGTTGAGACAATTTCAATTTTCATATAACTAATCCACCATCTTGGAATATTAACAACAGAAAGAAACAATTTGACACATTAGTTTTTTTTAAATAGATAACAAAATTGACTACTTGTAAATTGAGCGAACAAACATTTTGGTTACAATTTTTAATTATTATTATTTAAAATGAACAATATAAGAAGTCTTTGAAGCCAATGATATGAAAATAATTAACAACAATTTTCATAATTATTTACATTTCAAAATTATATTTTCAAATTTCGACGGATGTTTTTTTACAAAATAACATCAACATATTTTGTCTAACTAATCTTTATAATAATGTCAACTTTTTAGTTATCTTCGTCAAATTATTTATTAAAATTAGTTTTAAAATGTCACCGTTTGTCTGTCAATATTTGTAATATTTCTGCTACGTGATGCTTACATGTAGATATTTTGAAAGTTACCATACACCAAGAATAACATCTTTATACAATCGCTTCAAAATTGCACCGTATTTACTATACATATGCACCAAATTGAAAGAAGTAATATTTACATTTTATATTTCCTATAAATCAAAAGTTTCGTTTGACATACTAAATTAATTATTATGTTTTCGTCTTACGTAACTGTATGACGACTGGTAAGTCAGTAGCAGCGCGACAGTCGCCGCGTCGCGGGTCGCGAAATGCTGCTCATGAATATGAGCCTCTAGCTTGGCTTGAAACTAGTCGAGTACCTCGTCAAACAGTTACGTGATTAAGCCGAAAACATAATTAATTTCTTATAAATATTCAGAATAGTAATTTATTTCTCAAACAAATTAACAAATCAGTCTAATCATATTGGAATTGCGATGATGACAGGGTATGAAAATTAAAAATCTAAATAGTCTGTAAGTTAGGTAATTAAAAAATATAAGACACGTATTTTTTTATTTTGTCGTATAATAAAACAATACTTAGATAAAACGAATCAAAATTTAGGAGTGGGGGCTAAAACGTAATTTCTACGTATAAAATGTATATAGAAGTGACGTCACGCGACATTTCAAATCAATATAACGTCGAAACAGTGGCGTGCACACCATACATGCAAATAAGCACTGCATACCCTACAAAATCATAGTAAACCTACATAGTCAAATACATAGTGTCATTCATAAACACGACATGAATATTTACTGACATCATATAGAGATATCGTAATTTTATTGATACTTAATTTGAAAAACTAGTCACTAACGCCATCTATCGAAAAAATATTGAAGTACTACAACCACTTTCTACTTTCTTCGATATATTGAAGCATTGCGCCAGTGGCGCCGCCACCTCGCTATTGTGTGATGGTGGCGGAAGCATGTACTAATGCGTAGCCGGTACAATTTGCTTGTTTTCTCGTGCTGATGTTGGATTTTTTTTTTGTTAGGTTGGTAATTTCTATACAACTGCAAAAGCACTGCTTCTTCGTTATTCGACTAATTTAAGAAGTCAACAAAACGTAGCGTTTGTTGATTGAAAATAGATATATTAATTTTGGTCAACTTATTGTTTACGTTTTTTTTGGCCATTTTGTTTTGGTTATGTTTTTATGTGCAAGTGATTAAATTGTAATGTAATGAATTATAATTTAAATGAACTGTTAATTTACCGAAAATTATGTAAAATTATAGCTGTGAGCTCTGTGCTGGTGATTTGTGTTGTTCAATAAATTAAATATGAGTGCGTTGTCCTTATTGTCGTTCGAAGAAGAAACGAAAATATTTCCAAAGGCGATTTTGCGTGTATCGTATGCCCGGGCTAGGCGTAACTCAAAAAAGGTAATAATTTTATTATTTTTTTTAATAAACTTTTAATAAAATAATAAATTTTAATAAATTTGCGATTATAGGTATAGTTTGTTTTGTTAGCTAGCACTGGTTGTGTACCAATTTCATTAATGTTTTTAAAATCCAGTCATCTTGATCTCGCTTTGTACGATTTTTCTATGCATTTAACGGTCAGTTTATACTGGTGTCGCATAGCTTGATGTGTAACCATTTGTACTTCGCCGCTCCAAAGTAGGTAATAGATTTATAAAATAGATACCTAGGTATCTATGTTGATCAACTTTATACACGGATAGTTTGAAAATAATTATGTACCTAATTTGTTTATACAAATTAATAAAATACTTACTAAACCTAATTACTCAAAATTATGATGTTTCGGGAGTTTTATTTTCCGAGATTAATGTAGACTAAATTTTTTTTAATCATGTGATACCTTCTGCCTACCCTACTTCAAATCTCTGTGCACGCCCCTGCGTCGAAAGTAATCGTTTCTGTAAGAAAATAAAAAATACGTGTCTAATGTTTTAAAATAATCTAGCAGACGGGCATTAAAATAAAAATTAGGCATCTACCCTATTATAAAATATTGGCAAATAACTTTAATATAGTCTTGGAATGGAAAATAATTTGACAAATTGAGCTTATGAGCAATAAGTATGAATATTCTACAGCATCTCTTTTATAAAGGATTAGTACAAGGCATTCATCACTAACAACATCGACCTAAGAAATGAAAACATCCACTGTTACATAAGTGCCTCCTATACAAAGTACTTGCCATAATCCCCATACTTGGAAAACGAGTTAGAGATTGCAATAATTAGTGAAATTAACTCTTATGATCTACATTACGTATCAAGAAGAATATGCTATGCTATGCTATCTCCAAACCTAAGCGTGGAGGTAATGGCAAAGCTTCTTGTGTACAGAAGGCGTATCACGAACTATTGATAAGACATTATGAAGTCCTGCATTAATAAACATGTTGAAATAGAACTTGTACTAACAAATATTTATATCACAATCTTGATATTTACCTACTTATAATAAAAAAGGAAGTATGCGTAATGAGACAAATTATTCAATATTATTTATAACTTATTAATTATCTGTGTAATTGCAATTGTTATAGCATCGATACCATAGAAATAATTACGATTAATTGCATAGCATACCGTAACATCAAGCCTTTTAAGCGAAGAGGTAGGCAGACGTGCAAATTACGTCACTTAATGCCACTGTACAATGTAACACCCACTTTTCACTATTTGTTATAAGTCCCATGTAATAGGGCGTGAGCCTATTGCCATATACCGGGCACAATTCCAGACTCCGTGCTACTACTGATGATTTATTTTTTATAAAAAATCAGTAATCCATTGCCCGACCCGGGAATCGAACTTGAGATACCTTGCCCGGCAGTCGCACTTCCGACCAGTCGGCAAACGAGCCAGGCATCTCAGAAGTAAACAAATAAATTGAATATAATAACATCTACTTTTCATTAATTTTGTTATGAGTCCCATGTAATATGAGAAGGCTATTAGGCCCAATTGAGTCCACAGTGGCAAGAGATCGACTGTGGTACTATGTGTCGCAGGTTTATTCCCGAATAAAACAATAAACTATGTACATTAGAATACACAGTACACTCCCGTATTTAGTCGAGGGCATAGCGATTGAGTTCACGAATGTTTTTTCATGATATAAACCCCAGAAAAGGCTTGAAACTGATCGAACACTCACATAGTTTATACAAAATATTTGTAATCCACAAATTGTTGTTTGGAGCTAGACTCTAATGTGATAAAATAACTAGTGTTTACTAGTTATCACTAGTGATGTGATGTGTATATAAACGTACCCACGATACAGGAGAAAATCCTAGTGCGGGGACAACGTTTGAAAAATACAGTATCGATACTATAAAAAAACAATATTAATTATTGTAATATAATAATTGAGAATTAAATTCATAATGATCATAATACATTTATAATAATACATATAATTATATGAATAAATGCCGTATATACAGTCTGATATAAATGCAGGGAAAAATATAATATACAGGGTGGGTGAAATAGTCTGTTGCAAATCTTTATATGAATTTAGTACATTTTAGTTGTACTTTGTACGATTGGCGCAGTAGTTGAGTAACGGGCTGATGGTAAAGCGTTGCAGGTTCGATTCCCGCACGGAATAACTTTTTATGTGACCTACAAATAGTTGTTCGTATATTTGCATAATTCGTTTGAATCAGACCATTTCACCTATCTCTTTTTACAATTTTAAGGATAAGTAGAATCATAGCAACTATAACACACCGCAGTCTACAGATCCACGTAAAATACTCTATTTTACAAATACAGTAATATTATAATTACTTTTTTAAAATTATAATTTTTCAGTATTTATTTCTTTCTTCGAATCTACTTATCCCAAAAACACACCATTGCTGGCAACACTAGCTTACGAACTACAGATAATATAAACACCATGAATTGGCAACACATACATACATACATTATTAATTAACTAATGCACAATAATGCTAAAATAAAAAGCTCATAGAGATCTGCTGTCCCTATGGGGCAAGCGTGATGATACGAAATGCAAGAACTAACCTGAGATTCTTTTTGTGATGTTTTTTTAAGAATTTTACTTATTTTTTTCAATTGGCAACACTGACGATCGATTTTTGTAATCTGGCAATAATTTTTGGCACAATTTTACTTTTAATATAATTAGTATACATAAAATTATTGAATTTGAGCCAAATTATAATTAGATGAGATTTTAAAATTTTATAGAATGTTGTTATGTGGAAGAAAAGGAGGTCACTATCAGTTTAATATAGTGCTGTCCCTTTCTCACACATTTTTTAATACTGTTTAAATGACATCTACAATTTGATAGAAACGAAAATTATTTGTTTACCCTTGATATTGAATATTGATCTTTGCAATGGAAAATAAGTAAAATTCTTAATTTTAGATTATAATTTCACCATAATAATGTCAATGGCACATGAATGCATTTGTTGGTCGCGGCTTCGATTCCCAGGTTTGGAAAACGATGGCACGTATTACTGTTCAATCGTAAGTTTATTTCACAGGTTCAAATCCCGGAAGAAGTTCATAAATCGATGGCACATCAAATGTGTCGGGTCACAATGAGAGTCAATGGCACACTAGACGCAGGTTCGATTATTGAAAAAATCGTCATGACACTTCACATGGTTTACCGTTTAGTTTGTGGTAGTTGGATCACATGTGGAGTGCAGGGGGCGCGGGTTCGAGTCCCGTGCGAGGCGCCTGCTACAGTAGCGCTCGCCGGCACTCGTCTCGATATGCGCCCAATGTGCCCCTGTTTCATGTTTGCCATCTGAAATTAGTTTTTATTAAAACTAATTAAAAACATGATAAAAATTCCTTTCAAATGATTCGAACCGACAATAGGCATGGCGACTATTTTTTAATTTTTTGTCCGTCTTTTAGATATTTTAAAAATCTTCGATACGTATTTTTTCTTTTTTCTCGTATCCAAAAAAACATGTAGATATTTTGAGTTAAAATGACGCGTGACGTCACAATTTGGTACGATTTCTCCGTAAGTGTGACGTCAACACCCCCCACTCCCTAACTTTAATGCGAAATAACTACGTATTCTTCTGTTAATTTGATAAAACAAAAAATACGTGTCTGATATTTTCGTGCGATCTTAATGACGGACTAATTACTTTTTTGATTTTTTTACCCTGTCGACACGCCTATTACAAGACAATAAGTAATCTCAAACAGCCGAAATTAACCAAAAAAATAGTGAATCGATTTCTGAGGCTTGTTTATTCTACATTTCGATTACTTTATACGTAAAATATACTTGTACTGAGGCCTCTGCTTCATCTACAGATATAAGCAAGAAATAAAACACAACAGGTAACATCTGTAACACTATAAATACTGATATCTGGAATAGAAATCTCAGTAATAAAGCTGTTTAGAGCAGATCATATTAGAACAATCGGAGAAGATGAGATTGTATATTGAGATAGGTTACCCCCTTGACTGCCGGCATATGCGATACAACAAAAATATATAGTCTCTCGTATATTTAACTACATTCAATCCCAAGGGTAAATTTCCGTCTATAGTAGAATGGCGACGCCTTTGTTGCACTAATCGCTTACCATCATCTGATCCGGCTGCTTGTTTAACCCTCCCCCAATGGGGGGATATCATTTTTTGTCACCAGAGGGCACTATTCTTAAAAGACGTCACTTTGTCCAATCACCGTAGTTATCAACAATAGAACGTCTAATGTGACAAGCTTACAGATTCCTTATTGGACGAAGAACGAGATGTCAACACTAGCGACATCTAGTGACGTAAAAACTTTTTGAAACTTACCTAGCTTTCTGCAACTCGATTTGTCCCTCCAAAGTCTTGGCGAGGTATATGACGAACAGCTGAGCGAGTGCGACGGCGAGTGCGACGCTAGCGATGGTATACAGGTTGCGTTCCGCCCACGAGCGCACTATCTCTATACAACCACTCGTCCATACGCGTTTGCTGGCTTCTGCCACCTGGAAAGGCATAAAATATAATGGAAGATGTTGAAAGATTGTAACTTTCGTGAGACATACTAAATGAATTATTATGTTTTCGGCTTACTCACGTAATAATCGAGTAGCCACGCAGACTCGAGTAGTCAGTAGCAGCGCGACAGTCGCCACGTCGCGGGTCGCGGAATGCTGCTCATGGATATGAGCCTCTAGCATGGCTTGAAACTAGTCGAGTTCCTCGTCAAATTATTACGTGAGTGAGCCGAAAACCATAATGATTAATGTACAAATTGCTAAAAAAGTTGTACCTATTATTATTTCTCTCTCTTCGTTTACCGAGCAATGCTGGCTTGAAACTAGTCAAGTTACGACGTAAAACATTTATAAATCGTAAAGCAAAATTGAACTTACCGGATAATTCTGCACTCCATATCCGCACATGATGTTGACGAGACCCGAGGATATGTCAGTCGCATTGATACAGCACGAGAATGGAACCCCACACCTTTCGACTGACGGTGATGAACAGTTGAAGTATTCGTTCTTGGACCAGTCCATGTAGCCGTCTGAGGTCAGGCCACAGCAGTGGAACTGGAAAGGAATTTGATGATGGTAAGTCTCGTGTAACAGAGTCTTTGAAAACTTCTGCAAAAATGTTGTCAGTGGTTCGATAAGATGATTTTGTGATCATGAAGCTGTTGAGTGGTTGGAGGCTGACTAAGGAATATAGTTTTTTTATGGCATAAGCCGGTAAACGAGCAGACGGATCACCTGATGATAAGCAATCGGCGTCGCCCATGGACACCTGGAACACCAGAGGCGTTACTAGTACGTTACCGGCCTTTTGAGGATTAGGAATTTGAGGATCGTTGGGGATTCAGGAATTGGGGAGATTAGGGAAGGGGAGGATAATTGGGCCTCCGGTAACCTCACTCACACGACAAAACACATTGACATTATTGAGCAATAGGTACTGATTGTTTCAATTTCTTAAATACCCCAGTAATTCAATTCATTTTAAGGAATTTGTAATTATTTTTGATTGATTTTTTACAGCGACTGCCGGGCAAGGGGTCTCGGGTTCGATTCCCGGGTCGGGCAAATGAATACTGGGTTTTTAAAAACTCTCAGTAGTAGCACGGAGTCTGAAATGTGCCCAGTATGGCAATAGGCTCACCCCCTATTACATGGGACTCATAACATAAATAGTGAAAAGTGGGTGTTACATTGTACAGTGGCATTAAGCGCCGTAACGTGTAAGATGTTATTATATACAAACTTTTAACCATACCTCCACCTAGTTTACTATAGTTGGGTCATTTCAAATTTCAAACTGTCATAAGGCATTTTTATCAGATTTGTCGCTTACACTAGCATAAGTGCGGCATTATTTTTGACTGTACGGTCGGCGCGGTGGTTGGGCAACTGACTGCCGCGCAACGTGTCGCGGGTTCGATTCCCGCAAGTAACAACTCTTTTTGTGCTCCACATATTGTTGTTCCGGGTCTGGGTGTCATGTGTATGTGAACTTGTATGATTGTTAACGTACCCACGACACAGGAGAAAATCCTAGAGTGGGGCAACGTTTTTTTTTTTAATATCGTATTACTTTGACGTGGCAGTTCGCACGTTTATAATAATCCAACAATAACAAATTACACACCAAATCTTCACCTCGATACATTATCATACATACATACATAACTTCACGCCTGTCTCCCATGGGGGTAGGCAGAGACTAAGGAACGCCAATTACTACGATTCCTACATACCTCTTTCGCGTCATCAACAGTCATTAATCTTTTCATGCATGTTCGTCGGTTAAGGGTACTTTTAATTTGGCCCTTTTTTAATATATCGCCAATCTGGTCACTATATGTCCGTCTAGGGCGCCCTCTACCGACGATCCCATTCATATCCACTCTGTATACTTATTATCACTAAAGAAATAAAGAACTCACATCACTCTGTGCAAAGTCAATAAAGTTCTGCAGATCGGGGTCGTCTCTATATGCGTGTACGACTCGCTCGGTGAAGCTCAGCTCGAGCAGTCCGTGCAGCGAGCGAGGGAACACGAACCCACACACCGCGCCGCCCATCTCCACCAGGAACAGGATCAGCAGACATAGGGAGTACTGGAATGGAAATAATAATATGTATAAAATTAGTTCGTAAGTTCAAAACATGTGGTTTGTTCATTTACTAGCTTTTACCCGCGGCTTCGCTCGCGTCACAAAAGCATAAAAAATAACCTATGTGACATATATCAATATACACAGCGCCATCTGTACCAATACTTTTGTTTCCTCTAGGGAATATCAATTTTTTCCAGGATAAAAAGTACCCTATTATTTAATCCGGACTTCTAACTTTACGTCTGCAAAAATTCATAGCAATCGGTTTAGTAGTTATGGCGTGAAAACGGAACAAACAAACAAACAAACAAACAAACTCACTTTGCGATTTATAATATTAGTAAGGATAAGGAAGTAAGGATAAGGATAAGGATTCATATTCTACGCGGACGAAGTCGCAGACAACAAGCTAGTATTGTATAAAAAGTAAAACAAAACTAGATTTTAAACTGCCAACAGAATGTTAAAAGGAAATCGACCAACTCCGGTCACCGTTACCCCTATGGCAACAACCATGTTAAAATTCCGATGCAAAATGCAGAAACCGATAATAACTAGGTACAAACAATAAGTAGATAACACAAGGAAAATACTTACAAACTTGAGTAAGCACGTGTTCTCTCGCAGTGCGCCTACGCAACCGGCGAAGCTGACGATGAACACCACACCACCGAGTAGAGCTATCAGGAGACTTATATTGAGCATCACATCGTAAACTGTGTCCAACTGGAAATATTGAAAAATAAAAATATTAATTTCATGCAAGGGAAATATTTATCAGTTTGTCCTACTCACTCCCAAGTAAGTCATAAGAGCTGACTGAGGGATGACATTAATATAAATATAACATCGTGATTTTTATCCCCGAAGGGTTCAACATGGGTGCACATTGCGGCACTTAATGCCACTGTACAATGTAACACTCACTTCACTATTTATGTTACGTCCCATGTAATAGGGGGTGAGCCTATTGTCATATACCGGGCACAATTCCAGACTCCGGTGCTACTACTGAGATTTTTTTTAAAAACCCACTGATAATTTGAACGACCCGGGAATCGAACCTAAGACAGGCAGTCGCACATGCGACCACACGGGCAACGCGGCGGTAGACGAAGTTAATTAATAACTATTTATAATCTGAAATATCTGATTCAATCTCAACGAAGGAGTTTTTGAAAGAAACTTAGTACCTACTAGTTTTTAGTGTGGGAGAGCCATGCTTCGGCACGAATGGCCCGGCTCGACCGGAGTGATACCACGGCCTCACAGAAAACCGACGTGAAACAACGTAACGATGAACTAGTTAATAAATAAACGGTTGCGTTGTGTTTAGTCTTGTGAGTGAGGTTACCAGAGGCCCAAACTGAGAACCTCCTTCATTTGTTGAAGTCGGTTAAAAATCAATCTTAATCTAATCACTTATTAATTTTGGCAGTAAGGAACTGCACACTTAACAGAGATCGGACCCCAGCGCCTTCTGATGAACCTAAACCTTTTAAACGGTGATAATAGGTCACAGATCTGCCTGCTCAGATTATGTCAAACTCTTCCTATGTAGAGATGCAGTCTAAAGGAGTCAAGTAATTTATTTATTTGTCATTCATAGATACAGCAGACACCATGAAATTTATTTCGTTTTCGTCACGAAGTAAAATTGCAGAACCATTCTCGGTAATACAATACTTTTACAAGAAAATAAAATGTTTAAAACAAAAAATTTATGGTGAACCATTGCAAAAAGTAAACTTCGAAAGTGCATATATGAACTCATAGTAAGTACCTACATAAACAAAACATCGCGGCATGTAATTGTCGAAGAGGTATTTCTCGTCGGGTGGCACGTACGATGCGAATAGTGCCTACTTTTTGTGTCGTATACGCGAGTAAAAAAACCTAGAGTGAAAAAACAATACATACATGCTAATAATAATATTCTAATAACTGAAGCATGTCTGCATAAACATCGATAACGTTTTCCCGGAACACAGAAAACCAGGCAATTCATTAAATAATAATACTAAAATGTATCAAGATAAAATTTAACTGGCTTGTTGTTTTGTAAATATATCACAAGAACAACTTATGAAAAAGAACTTCAACAAAAACTACCTATACCAGGACAAGAAAATGTAAGCACAGTTCGTATCGCACCATAACACAGCAGAATATCCTAATGAGCTGAAACGTTTATTTTTAAAAAAGAATAGGAATTAGCGACTTTACTGAAAGGATTTTCCAAGAAAAGTATATTTTCTCGCGGTAAAAAGTAGCCTAGGTGGTAACCTATTATATTATATAGGTGGTAAAAACGGTAAAAGAATCTTTGAAATCGGATCAGTAGTTTCGAAGCTTATTCAAGACAAACAAACGAAAAAATACAAATATAATATTACTATTGATAGAAGGGAAAGAAATAAAGACATATCGGATAATATTGCTATCCTTTTTCATACCAAAACAATGAACAATAAGGCTTCTATATAATATCATAGTTCAGCCCCTAATCTATGAAATTTGATCCTTTTGAAGGGGACCTCTTAGACTAACGATCCTATAATGAAGGGGCTTATCTTATGGATTTTTTCTATCCTGTATCTATTATGGGTTGTTTAGGAAATATATCTGATATCGATCATTAAATATTTTCTAATATTATACTTATATTCCAAAGTGTTTGTCTTATATGTCGCAATAGAGAGATCTTATAGTCCGGATAAAGTTAGGAGGCTGAAGACTGATAACTATAGCTTAAAGACAAAGACAATTGTGAATTAAAAATAATTAGTCCGTAAGTTAGGTAATGAAAAAATATTAGACACGTATTTTTTTATTTTGTCGTATAATAAAATAATACTTAGATAAAACGAATCAAAGTTTAGTAGTGGGGGCTAAAGCGTCATTTCTACGTATAAAATGTACATAGAAGTAACGTCACGCGACATTTTAAATCAATCTATAGTCGAAACTATTCTTTACAACAAACATAAACATACATAGCATCACGCCTTTTATCCCCGAAGGGGTAGGCAGAGGTGTACATTACGGCACTTAATGCCATTGTACAATGTAACACCCACTTCACTATTTATGTTATGAGTCCCATGTAACAGCGGGTGAGCCTATTGCTATATACCGGGCACAATTCCAGACTCCGTGCTACTACTGAGATTTTTTGAAAAAACCCAGTAGTACTTTGCCCGACCTGGGAATCGAACCCGAGATCCCTTACCCGGCAGTCGCAATTGCGACCACTCGGCCAACGAGGCAGTCTTCTTTACTGTAAGAAAATTAAAAGAAAATACGTGTCTAATGATTTAAAACAATCAACCAGACGGACATTAAAATAAAAATTAGGCATCTACCCTATTTCTTTTGACTATGCAGTCGAAATTAAAGCTAGTAAGTAAATGAGCTGTAAGACATGCCAGACCACATCCTAGACCTCCCCATGCATGCATGGGGAGGTCTAAATCCAGCAGAGGATGTCTTGTGGTTGATTAATACATAGAATTACTACTAAACTTTACCTTTATCAGTCCTGTGGCCTGCCATTTATCAATGAATGCGTACAGCCCCACCGCTATCAGCAACCCTCCAAATAACTGTAATAAAAACAATATTTTATTATTACCTACAATACATTTGTAATATGTATTATTCAAGTTCTAACCGCATAGAGAAAGTAACTTCCGCATTTAAAAAACGTAGGTTTCTTCTCTATTTATTTAGTTTGTGATTAGAATATTGAATGAACTATGTCTAAATAGTATCTACTTACAAGGCAATAGGTGTCTCATCTATTGAATTAACAGTTAATATAAACATGAAAGTGTTGCCAACACAACTTACATAGTAATCACCTTTTTTATACCATGATGGTGTAAAAAAAGTACACAGATCACCTGAGGTGAAGTGTAAAAATAATCTTTACAATTTTGTAAAAGCTGACTTAAACTGTCAAACACCAAGCGGTCACCGGTGACCGCAACCTATTGTTCTATAATTGTGTCTACAAAACCGGTACTCGACGAGTTAAAGGCTACACATTGGACAGAGACCAAGTAGCAGTACTCTTTGATAAACCTAATCCTTTAATTTAGACACTTTTCAGAGGAGTGTCCTGAGGAGCAACTAAGGGACTACATGTTAAGCAGAGAAGGAGCAGCAGTAGTCCCTGATAATCCTATACCTATCAAATTATGATTTCCAACCTGCATGTTAAGCTTGAGGCTTATAACACACCTTTATGTGTAGAGGAGACTGACATGGGTTCAATGACATTGATTATATAACATAACTATATGATGGTATATGGTTGGTGCCGTGGATAGGCAACCGACTGCCGCGCAACGTGTCGCGGGTTCAATTCCCGCACGGAGCAACTCTTTGTGTGAACCATAAATTGTTGTTCCGGGTCTGTGTGTCATGTGTATGTGAAGTTGTATGTTTGTAAACGCACACACGGCACAGGAGAAAACGCTAGAGTGAAAAAAAATATTCTTATATTCTTTGAAAAAAAAAGAACCTGCATATTTAGCATGAAGATTATGACACACCTTTTATGTGGAGGATACTGAGTATGGTTCTGGGTTCTGGATGACATTGATTAACTAAAAATCGGGGTTACTCACGTGAATATACTGAGAAAAGCTCTACTAGTTTCGACTATAGAGGGGTTCTTCCTCATGAGCAGCGTGCGCGGTCGCGGCCATGTCACGCATGCTACAGTAGGCTGCGCCGAAACTAGTAGAGCTTTTCTCAGTATATACACGTGAGTAACCCGCGGTTTTTAGTTAATTTCACGATAGTTATTATAAAGACATTAATTAGTTACATTTAGAAAGGTTTTTCTATGTTTGGTATTGAGGAAGTCTCCAAGGCCTAAGCTATCCCACTTAGTAATGCAACACCTAACTATAGGGTATATACCATAACATCATTTATACATAACATACCTACTTATTTACTGCATATTGCATAGTACTGTGGTCAAGGTTGAATGACCACATACCATTTGATATGAGATACAACACATATGTGCATATTAGTATTTATTATATGGTACGCTAGAGCTGCTAACAAAGACCGTGTGTTACCAAGTCTCCAACAATGTAAATATTTTTAACATAACTATCGGCTTTCATTCAAATCAAAATCAATTATTTGCATAAAACATGGTAGGTAACAAGATGTTGAATAAAATGTTTGTGTGTTCCATAGCGCGCAAAAGTATTATTAAATTAAACTGTTCTACAATTCTTTTCAAAATATTATCAGACAATAGAAATAATACTACTTTAAGTAGGCTAATCATAGTTAAACCTCTTGCAACACACTCATACCGATGTGAATACCAATAAAAATATTTTTCATCATTATTTTCTTAAACGCAAGAAATATGTTGTTATGGATAATTCTAATCAGGTTTTCCTGTTTTTAAATAAAAAATGGTTTATCTAATGGGTTGGGTCTCTGGGTTTTATGCTATATTTTTGCTGTTCATTACAATATTAAGATTATGAGCATAATGCATCCGTTTTCCCTATATTTGTTATACTAATTAAAAAGATCTTATGATAACATTGCCTGCTGTTATAATTGGTAGGTAAGTTAGACAATATTTAGGTATTTATTTATAATTTTATGTACACCATAAAGCAGACAATATTACTGAGGACAACACATTATAAGCATGAGGTACATAGGTACTATTGGAGTTGTATTGAAAAATTACTAACTAAACACAAGATAATTACACAATACACACTTAAGAGTAAGCAGAAACGCTGCTTATAATCCTTACAAATTTCTTTAGCTTTAATAAAAGCTATAATTATAAGATTATAATTATAATCATACATCTGATAATTTTTTTTTTCATATATTTTATGGGTAGATGTTTAGCCACTATCTCATCAGCAATCATGCAACCTATTGATGCATGTCTGCCAACAAGTAACCTATACACTCTGGCCTTGAAAACATTCAGGTTATGATCCTTCAGGAAACATAGACTCTGGCAGAGAATTCCTCTCCTTAGCAGTTCACACAAGGAAGCTTGAAATGAAGTGTTTTGATTAAATGAAAATATCAGATAAGAATTCTTTGCACTGGCCTTTTTTTACAATATTTCCAATGATGATTATGGCAGAGGTTGGTAACAAGTTATAACTTAAATCTCTGGTTTTATTGGTAAATACATTGAATATTATATCTGCCAATATCTGATATTTCTCAGAAATTAGTTTATTTACAGATTAGGGAGTTATTATTCTTATGAATGTTAAATAAATAAAAAGATTTACCTATCAATTTTGCACCATTAATTTTTTAAAGAGAATAAGATACCTTCACACATATTAATTTTTTCAAGAAGCACGAAAAGAGTTTCCGCTTGAAAATTACCAGTCAGTATACCAATTTATAATAAGTTTGTGGTGTGAATAAATAAATATTTTACCTCATTTGTGTCAATAAACCTGTGTCACTATGACATCACAACTATCTTCAGAGAATTGAAGATGATGCATACTTAGGAAATAACTCGGACAATGTTTTTGTATTTTAAAAACATAATAAGGATACTTTATGGCAGGTTTCATAGACTGTAGATAGCCATGAACTGCTGTATAGATTTAAAATTAGAATTTTATATATGGGAACCATCCACCAGATAATGTATTAGACAGTAATTTTTTAAGAAAGTCTTGGTAGTGACTCTTACTATGTTTGATCGCTATGTCATTGATCCCTTTGTACATGAATCCTAAAGACTCGAACTTAAAAGCGATTGTTTGAATACTAGGTAACAAAACCCATCACAGGGAATGCAAAAAATATCGCAGATTCGTTGAAATGTTCAACAATTGGCGTCATTTATCACATTATCGCCATCGAGGCCGGAACAATAGAGAACGGATGCGGCCGAGAAACAAAACGACACTGCATAGCAGATTCCCATGCCTACTGTATCATCGAAAACAATGATTCACACACTAACAATGATGAATGAAACATAAAAATTCAGACTCTCTAACATCGAAAATAACGAAAATCATCAACAAATATACATCCTTTATTGCTAAACTATAAACAAAACTATGAAAATCTCACCCAGAATATAAAATTCAACACAAAAATCATATATTTCACACATCCGCTCACATACGTGAAGTTAGGTCCACGGCGGCGATGCATTTTGACCGAATGATCCATTAAAAACTCACAATATATTAACAACAATATGCACTGTTTATTTTTGTTGTTAATATTAAATTATTGTTTAAAAATTAAACATTATTGGCGAATGAGTAATCAACATCCTCCGACAATTGCTCTTCTGTCAAATCTGAGCATAGACTGAAAACAACGATGGGCGATCGGACATTGACATTTAATACAGATTATAAAAAACCGTAATAATTTGTTCTATTTACGATGAAAAAACCGAACAAAAGAATATTGTTTTATCGTTTTTATAAGGTTTAACAATTTTACAAAACTATTTAATAAATCATTATTTTAGTGTACTTCGTAATAGTTATAAATTACACTTATTCTCAGCCCTAGAACCTACGTTACGCCGTTACGCCTATCTAGGCCTAAAATTACAATGAGCAAATACAAAAGTTTCAGGTCTATGTCCATATTAATTAGGTAGAGAACACGAACTTTATAGATAGAAGTATTTATTTTTATTAAAATCCATCATCAATGGTCATGGTTAAATTTTCAGGTTCATATTCGTAATCGATATAGCGATTCTTGATGAGATGCTTATAGACAAGTGCTGACTTCCTAGCGACGCGTGTGCGAGCTGGATCTTGGTAGTCCACTTGGTACAAGCCGAGACACGGTCTGCCGAAAAAAAGAGCATAGGTAATTAAAATATTTTTTAACACCTTAACAACTTCTTTGATTTTCGACTATGGAACTTACATATAACCTTCCAGCCATTCCATGTTATCCAACAGACTCCACACCATGTATCCCTTGAGGTTGACACCCGCGTCCAGAGTATTTAGCATGCTCTCCCACGCAGCTCTGTAGTATGTGATTCTGTCATTATCAATCAGACTACTGTTACGGTATGTCGCCCATCCATTCTCTGTGATGTAGATCTTTGGATTGTTGTATTTCTCCTTCAAGTGGGTTAAAGCGTGGTAGATACTGTTAGGAGCCATCTGTGGAAACAGGACCATTAATTCTGATCATGATAAAAACTCGAGAAGAATTAAGGTGATTTAAAATTAGAATCTACTAAATAATACTAAATTTTGAACTAATAAAGTTTTGAAATTTAAGTAGAAGGTGTGGCACTGAAATGGTTTTTGGGTTGACAAAACCACCCACTAAAGTTAATTCATATTTGCATGCTTCCTGGTAAAATATGGTTGAGCTCGCAATGTACCTAAACACCACATATTGTATTACCCATATTTGCAAATAAACTATCTTTATCTTTATTTTTATCTAAAGTTGTGTGTAGTAATAGCGGGATCACTACACACGACATTGTAAGATTTTATTTCTTTTCAATATTGCATAGCCATAGAAACAACACAAAATATTTAGGTATTTTATCTACAGTATCACTTGATGTCATGAACAAGATAAGCAGTTGAAAATGATAAGTATTTATTGATGATTCTGTTTCTGTTATTCAACGAATTTTTTAAAATTTTTAACAAAAAGGCTTGAATAATTTCGAAAACTTGAAGTTATGAATTTTCTTAACTTAAAAAACTTCATACAAGGTATGTATCATATAGTATATAAGTCACTTACACTTAGCCAAGGAGAAGCCGATTTAGGATTTTCCTCAGGCCAGTAGAAGCCAACGTTTACATCATCCAGCATAGATGGCGCTGAGTAGACCTGCTTATGTTCTGTCGCCGAAACCTTTACAGTCGTATAATGATTGACACCGAAGAAATCTGCTGATCCTTTGATAAAAGCTTTTTCTTCTTCATTGAAATCTGACAGGCGGGTGCGAGGGAATCCTTGTTGTGCACTTTTTTCAGCTACTCTATCCAAAAGTTCCTTTGGAAGGCCACCTTCAGCCGAGAATATGGGATCGGCGTAAATTCCCCACTAGAAAAAAAAACAGAAACTTAATTTTAACTTGTAGTAATTATGTTTAATTATGTTAATAATCAATTTTGTTTTATTGTCTTAAACTATTCAGAATACAAAGCATTGTATCACAATTATGTATACTCACTCACCTGGGATTGTCTCATAAGCTCAGCAGCCATCAAATCTTCAGCAGAGTCAGTATCTGCTCCAAACCAGTTCACGCTGATAGTAATCCCACACTGACCTCCCTGGGTTGGCTTGAACTCAGTGTTATATAAATGGTAGGCTCTTGCGTGCGCTAAAACCAAATGCTTAGCACACAAGTAAACACCAACACCAAAGGTATTCAGGAGAGGAGCTTTGTTCATATATTCGAGTCCTTCAAAACAGATTTGACTAGGCTCGTTAAATGTAATGAACAATTTAACTCTGTCTCCGAAGTTTTCGAAGACCACCCTTGCGTAGTCTTCATACCATTCAGTAAACAAAGGGTTCATTAATCCACCCAAGTCTTGCAGTTTTTGGGGTAGATCCCAGTGGTACAGAGTGACCATTGGAGTGATGTTGTACTTCACCATCTCATTGATAAGGTTGTTGTAGTAGGCGACGCCGGCAGGGTTTATCTGATTGGCCATTCCTGTAGGAAGGATACGAGCCCAGGAGATGGAGAACCTGTAGGCGTTGAGGCCTAGCTCTCTCATCATCTCGACATCACGCTTGTAGTTGTGGTAGGAGTCAGCAGCGACGTCACCAGTGGTCAAATCTTCAATGACTGTGGGGTTAGTATGTACCAATCTATCCCAAATGTTTTCACCCTTACCTAAAATGACACAAGACATAAATTACTGTACTGATATCAGAAAAAGTGTTCAAGGACGTTAAAAAATGGATTTTGTTTTAAACTTGCCATCTTCATTCCAGGCTCCCTCGATCTGGTAGGCGGATGTAGCAGCACCAAAGAGGAAGTCATCAGGGAACCGACGCTGCTGCCTCACAGTCGAGCCATGACAGGCTACCGCCAACAAGCTGCAAGAGTGACAATGGACACTCGGTTTACCTTATTGCATGTGGTAGTAAAGTAAACAGGTGCAGAGAATGCAGTGTTTATTCCATATAAAAAAATGCAAATTCAATTAAGGGAGAAAAAACCAGCATTATTTCTCAAGTTACGAAAATAACACTAATTATGTTTTCGGAGGAAAAATGAATGCAAAACCCTGTTACATTATCAGTTCACATCATATCATAACAAGTTACATTATCAGGCCTTTAAAATGAAGGGTCAAGGCCAGTCACCGAACGCATATCCAGTTTCAAAACAAAAAGATAAACACAAATAAAAAAAAAATAAGAAATTCACGTACCATAAGACCAATGACTTCATGTCGACTGGACCGTGTAAGCAATTTACTGTCTTTATACTGGCATACGTCATCACAAGCCGTGGTGGCTCAGTACATCTTCTTATCTCACATGTGAAGTACTTCAGCTATCTGAGATGCGATGTATTTAAGTAAATCTGCAATGATAAAATGTCTGTTTTTAGGGTTCATTGATTATCGATCGGCTTTATGAAGTATAAGTACATTTGTACTTGAACCGGTCGCCGGTAGTGTTCGAATTTAGAAATGCTTAGGACATTATTAGATCAAATGATGCTGTCTAACATTATGGGATAAGCCGGTAAAGGAGCACACGGATCATCTGATGGTAAGCTATCGGCGTCGCCCACGGACACCTGGAATACCAAAGGCGTTACAAGCGCGTTACCGGCCTTTTGTGGATTAGTTTGAGCATTGTTATGGATTGAGAGATTAGACAGATTAGGGTAGGTGATCCCCCTTGCCCAATTGGACCTCCAGTAACCTCACTCACACGACGAAACACAACGCAAGCGTTGTTTCACATCGGTTTTTTGTGAGGACATGGTATTACTCTGGTCGAGTCGGCCCATTCGTGCCAAACCATGGGAGTCGCATACATATGTAAGTAGTAAACCTTAAAACATACTTGTGGAAATAAAATCGCATTTTTTATGCAGAAGAAAAGGTATTAAATCCAATAAAAGAATAAAAATGTGTAATAGAACCCAGTCCGACCAGTACGTGACCATTTTTTTGACAATACCCAAGACACTAACAAAAGATTAGATAATTTGACCTATCCTATCGACTTGCATGTTATAAGTGGCATGAATATCTTTACTTAATATGTACTTGAAGAGGGAGATAAAGTTTGCTAGTACAGACGGTTTTTTAATGTTTATTTTTATATTACGACTATACACACCTACATAAAATATTTTCATCTACGTTCTAAACCTTCCACGCATCATTTTAACAAGCGATTCGTTTGACATTTCGACTACGGTCGAAAGTGCGTCTGCCAAGTAAGGTTTGATTCGGGTTATGCATCATTGGATTTTTTGAAATTTAAATTATTAACTCAGTTTACAAATTGGGTCCGTTACAAATAAGGTTAGATTCTCCTAATTAGGTGGATAGATCTAACATATGCCAACATGATTTTCTGGTGAAAATTACTTCTGGTACAGAAATGCCACTTAGTTATTGTAGGTCAGTCTTCGATAAGACAGTTGATCGAAGAGTTCGACAAACACATAAGCATCCCGCAAATGAAAACCTTAAAAGTCCTTAAAAAGATATTGACATTTCATACAGATTAAAAAAACCGATAACATTTGTTCAAAATCGGTTATAAATTCACACACCAAAAAAAAAATTGTTTTATTTACATTTTATTAATCAAGGTACAAAATAATTTTCTCTATTTATTCAGAAAGGCTCACGTTGGAATATTTAAACGTCTCTCTCACGTTCAAATATCTTTATATATATATAAATCTTCTGTGAGTGTGTATGTCACTGAACTTCTCTCAAACAACTGGACCGATTTTGATGAAATTTTTTGTGTGTGTTGAAGTGGAATGGTTTAGATTCACAAATCAGCCCGGTAGATGGCGCTGCAGTCGTGTTTGGGGCTAATTATCCTAAATAGCTGAACTAATTTGAATGAATTTTTGTTTATACATTCAAGAGGATATGCAGGACAACGTCTGTCGGGTCCGCTAGTTTACATATAATTCTGTCACTACAAATTCTTTGTGTAATGACAGAGATGGCACGATATTTAAGTACCTAAAACTTAAAATTGAGAAGCCTTTCAGTATTTGGGCATCAGAGTATTTGGGTTGGGTTTAAAGATTTTATTTCTCATAAGAACAGATACATTGTTCACTTAAAATGAGATACAAAATGAGATACTTATCTATGATACATATGACAAAATCCTCTAGTGCGGTAAGAAGTTACATTCATTTTATTTTAACGAGATTTACAATGTTTGTACATATTCCTTAAGTTTCGTTTTGAATGCCTTAATGTTATCGCAGTTTTTTATGTCATCTGGTAATCTATTAAACAGCTGTGCTCCCCAAACAAAAGCGTTTTTTTCCCATAGTTTGTTCGTGCCATCCCTAGTTCGAGTTTATGTTTGTTTCTTAAGTTGTGTGTGATGTTTTTTCTATGTAACTGTATGTTTGATTGAATGGCATGAGTGGTGATATTTTTTATGAGAACACATGTGCAATATGTGTATAGTTGTGTTAGATTGAATAACTTAGATTTCTCATATAGTGTTTTTGTGGGTGTAGAATGTTTATAATGGAAAAGGGTTTTAATAATGACCTTGTTTTGGGTTCTTTGTAATGGGCTTAAGTTAGTCTTAGCAGCTGATCCCCAGATCTCAATTAGGTACTCTCTATTTTCTGAGCTACTCTTGAATAGTAAATTGTTTCATCAATAAATTGCTTTGACTTGGGTTAAAATCTGTAGATTGAAGTTAAAATAATCAAGACATTAGAATAAAGTATTTATACTTTAATTACTTAACACTAAAATCCATCATCAATAGTCATGGTCAAAGACTCAGGTTCATATTCGTAATCAATAAAACGATTCTTGATGAGGTGCTTGTAGACAAACGCCGACTTCCTAGCGGTGCGTGTGCGAGCTGGGTCTTCGTAGTCCACTTGGTACAGGCCGAAACATGCTCTGTGGAAAATGAATAAAGGATTTGAAATAGCAACAGATAGCAGAAGTAGATACTTCTTTTCATTTATCGATATCTAGAGGCCTCCTGCCGGAGGTTATACGCCGGGGTCGTGCGGTCCATGGCCCTCTACGGCGCCCCTGTGTGGGCGCCGAACCTGATGCGGCGGCCCGCTCGGGCGCTGCTCACATCACAGAGGGTCATGGCGATCCGATTGATACGCGGATATCGCACGATCTCCGGGGAGGCGGCGAACCTCCTTGCCGGATTACCGCCGTGGGATCTGGAGGCGAAGGTGCTCGCGCGCGTGTTTTGTTTGCGCGCGGAGGCACGTCGCCGGGGCGAATCTCCGCTGCCGCGCCAGATTAATGCGTGGCGGGATGAGCTCCGGCGTGATCTCATGGCGGAATGGCAGCAACGACTGTCGCAACCGAAGGCTGGGCTCGCTGTCATTGCAGCGGTAAGTCCCCTCTTTGAGGAGTGGCTTGAGAGACGCTACGGCGTCCTCACCTACCGCCTGACGCAGGTGCTTACCGGACACGGGAGTTTCGGTAGGTTCCTGTTTCGGATTGGGCGGGAGGAAACGCCCGGGTGTCATCACTGCGAGGATCGCCCGGAGGACACGGTGGAGCATACGGTGGCGGTGTGTCCTGCGTGGACTGAGCACCGCCGTGTCCTCAGGAATGTGATCGGCGACGGCGACCTCTCGCATCCGGCTCTGGTTCAGACCATGGTACGGAGCGAGGGGGACTGGGATGCCGTCTCCTCCTTCTGCGAAGCAGTCATGCTAGCTAAGGAGGAGGCGGAGCGCGTGAGGGAACGAACCTCCTCACGACCCGGCCGTCGCGAGAGACACTCCGGGCGTCGGGGATCGCGAGACGATCTCCGGCCACCGTAAGCACGGGCCTGCGGACGGCGAGCACGGGTGACTCGCCGCCCGACCAGAACCAGGCCCGAGCGTACGGCGCGTCGCGTTCCGCGCGCGCCTCAAGGAGCCATCAGACCACCACAGATGGGGCCTAACAGGGCTGATGCCGATACGGAGCCGCGGAAGACTTAACGGGTTGCCGGGGCTCCGGCTCGAAGTGCAGGAGTAGGAACGGGGTGGTTTTTAGTCAGTAAGAGTCTGACACTCCCTCCCGCCTCACCCGGGCGGGAGAAGTCATTGGATGATTTTCCCCCCTCAAAAAAAAAAAAAAAAGACCTAGATTTTCGTTGACCTATTAGCGATCCCAAAGCTGACTTCCAAACAGCCTTCAAACGGAAGCCCTTGTTCAGCTGTGGTAGTGTCCCAGCCTATGATGACGATTATACAAACTTAGACCCTAATATCTCTAAAAATTTAAACTGTTTATCAAGAGACAAACAGCAGCCTTCTATAAACTTTCAGTGACACAATATCTGCGATGCAAGTGTAAGGTATAATGGTAATTAAACCTTCTCTTACGATGATGAAGTCGATAACGATTAATATTAGAATGGAAACTTCAGAGACATTTTTTACAAGACCGCCGCCAGACCTGTATCAGCAGTTGGCACTTTCCGCTGATGATGATCATATAAAAGCTTAGTACTGTTTTGAAGTCTTCAACTATGACAAAGGACTTACACGTAACCTTCCAGCCATTCCATGTTATCCAACAGACTCCACACCATGTATCCCTTGAGGTTGACTCCCGCATCAAGAGTATTTAGCATGCTCTCCCACGCAGCTCTGTAGTATGTGATTCTGTCATCATCAATCAAGCCAATGTCAGGGTAGGTGGCCCACCCATTCTCTGTGATGTAGATCGCTGGATTGTGATATTTTTCCTTCAGATGGGTTAAGGCGTGGTAGATGCTGTTGGGGGCCATCTGTGGAAGCAAGAGTTGATTGGTTAATTGCTGAACGAAACCTTTATAAAACATAAACAAATAAATGACTTTTTTAAACTTAATCAACTACATCAAATTCTATGTTAAGATAATTTACCTTCAGCCAAGGAGAAGCCGACTCAGGATAATCATCAGGCCAGAAGTACCACGCATCTAAATCATTCATCATAGACGGCGCTGAGAGATAAGGTTTGTATTTAGTCGCTGACACCTTCACCGTCGTGTAATGGTTTACTCCGAAGAAATCTGATGATCCCTTGACAAAAGCTCTCTCCTCTTCAGTGAACTCTGGCAGACGAGAGCGAGAGAATCCTTGTTGCGCACTTTTTTCTGCTACTCTTTCCGCAAATTCCTTTGGAAAACCACCGTCATCTGAGAATATGGGTTCAGCGTAGAGACCCCACTGAAAAGGTTAAGAACTCGATATAAATATTATTGTCTACTTGACTGTCTCGTTGGCCGAGTGAACGCAAGTGCGACTGCCGGGCATGGGGTCTCGGGTTCGATTCCCGGGTCGGGCAAGGTACTACTGGGTTTTTAAAAAAATCTCAGTAGTAGCACAGAGTCTGGAATTGTGCCCGGTATATAGCAATAGGCTCACCCCCTATTACATGGGAGTCATAACATAAATAGTGAAAAGTGGGTGTTACTTCTACCCCTACCCCTTTAGGGATAAAAGGCGTGATGTTATGTTATGTAATGTCTACTTAGGTTACTAGCACCTTATATCCTAAAGATACTCACCTGAACTTGTCTCATAAGCTCAGCAGCCAACAAATCTTCTTCAGAATCAGTATCTGCTTCAAACCAGTTTACACTAATCGTAATACCACACTGACCTCCCTGGATCGGCTTGAACTCATTATTATACAAATGGTAGGCTCTTGCGTGCGCCAAAACCAAATGCTTAGCACACAAGTAAACACCGATACCGGTGGTATTTAAAAGAGGAGCTTTGTTCATATCTTCAAGACCTTCAAAGCAGATCTCTCTCGGCTCGTTAAATGTGATAAATAGCTTAACTCTGTCTCCAAAGTTCTCGAACACAATTCTTGCGTAGTCTTCGTACCAATCAGTAAACAAGGGGTTCATTAATCCACCCAAGTCTTGCAGTTTTTGTGGAAGATCCCAGTGGTACAGAGTGACCATTGGAGTGATGTTGTACTTTACCATCTCATTTATAAGATTGTTGTAGTAGGCGACGCCAGCAGGGTTGATCTCATTGGCCATGCCAGTGGGCAGGATCCGAGACCAGGAGAGAGAGAACCTGTAAGCGTCCAGGCCTAACTCTCTCATCATCTCGACATCACGCTTGTAGTTGTGGTAGGAGTCAGCAGCGATGTCGCCGTTGGTTAGGTCTTGGATGACTGTGGGGTTGGTGTGGACTAGCCTATCCCAGATACTTTCACCCTTACCTGAAAGAATTCCATAATTTATTATTTTATAGTAAAATAAGATAGAGAGCCCTGTAAAAATTGAAAACTTACCATCTGCATCCCATCCTCCTTCAATCTGGTAGGCGGCTGTAGCGGCCCCGAAGAGGAAATTATCAGGGAACCGACGCTGCTGCTTCACGGTTGAGCCGTGGCAGGCTACCGCCAACAAACTGCAACAGACACCTCAATCAGCAACGATATTTGTGGAAGGTTTGTTTATTTACTTTTATTCTCACACCGATAAATAGCAATTGATGCAACACAGAGCGAATCCAGACCACATAAGACAAGAATATATTTTAGCTCAAACTCCAAGCGGATAATGAATCCAAAGTATAAATTCCACGTACCACAAGACCAATAACTTCATATCGACTTGATCGTGTCAGCAGTATGCTGTTTTTATACTGTCATGCATCATTCAAGCCCCGGATGGCTGTACATTTTTTTATCTCACTTGCTAAGCACTTCAGCTATCTAAAATACGATGTATCAAAGCGAATCTCTGGAGATAACATGATGTGTGTTAGAGTTCCGTAATTCGGAAGCACTTGGTAACTTAAATTAATTATTATTTTATCGGCTTACTCACGTAACTGTTTCACAAAGAACCAGTAGCAGCGTGCCAGTCGCCGCGTCGTACGTCGGAAACTTCTGATCTTGAACGTAAGTCTCTAATATGTCGCGGAGAACCTAACGGGTAACCGGGGCTTCGGCTCGACGTGCAGGAGAAGGAACGGGGTGGTTTTTAGTCAGTAAGAGTCTGACACTCATTCTATGATTTTCCCCCCTTAAAAAAAACCTCTAATATATGATTTCAAACTAGTCGAGTACCTCAAACGGTTACGTAAGTAAGTCAAAAACATGACAGTTATTTTAGTATATCCCACGAAAATATAAACTTTGGTATACCTATATAATATATCCTCTTGTTAAGTCAATAAAAAGAATAGAATAAAACAGTTTGCAGTTGTCCATATATAAATAAATTCAGCAGTAGCTAACAAAGATGAAGGTTCAGTTTTAATCAGGCTGATTGGAATACGAGGCAGGAGAGATAAAGGACTAAAATGTTGATGAAGTTACATAGGTACATGACCAAGCAAACACATTTCTTTTTTTTTAACAGGAAAAGTCATCCTATAACTTCTCCCGCCTTGTGTTAGGCGAGAGAGAGTGTCAGACTCTTAATGACTAAAAACCACACCGTTCTTACTTCTGCCCTTCGAGCCGGCGCCCTGACAACTCGTTAGGCTTTCCACGGCTCCGTATCGGCATCAGCCCTACTGGGTTCCATCTGTTGTGGTCTGATAGCTCTATGAGGCGCGCGCGGAACGCAACGCGTCCCGTACACTCAGGTCTGGTTCTGGTCGGGCGCCGAGCTACTCTCGCTAATAAGATGATCAAGCAAATGATGAATTTAAATGTGTATGAATGAGAAAAGACGAGAAGAAGAGATAGAGGGACTATTTATACTGATATGAAATTGAAGGAGAATATAACAAAATGTTTTAATGAGACTAATACTAGAACGTGACATCACGACAAGATCTTCATCCCACGAGAAATATACGAGAAAGTGTAGGATTTATTATGTAATTATAACTTTGTTGTATTTTTCGTCCGGGTCGTAACGAATCATTTTTATGGCGCATTTTTTTTGTGAACATCTGTAGATCAAGATAAATTTTTACAATACTTTTATGGAGTTTCTATCAATTCAGTAAGTCTGATTATGTATTAATTTCGATCATTAGATTACTTTTATCTCTAACTAGCTTCTGCCCGCGACTTCGTACGCGCAATCCCGATATTTTCCGTTCCCGTTCTTGATTTTCGGTAAAAAGTAAAAAAAAAGTATCCTATGTCCGTCTCCTGGTTCTAACCTACCTCCCCACCAATTTTCATCCAAATCGATGTAGCCGTTCTTGAGTTATAAATAGTGTAACTAACACGACTTTCTTTTATATATATAGATTTACAATTCGTGCTGTAAATATAATTCAGCGTGTTTTTTTTATGGGATAAGTCGGTAAACGAGCTGACGGATCACCTGATGGTAAGCAATCGGTGTCGCCCATGGACACTTGGAACGCCAGAGGTGTTACAAGTGCATAACCGGCATTTTGGGGAGTAGGACTTTGAGGATTGTTGGGGATTGTTTCAGGGATTGCGGGGGGGGGGGTAATTGGGCATTCGGTATCCTCACTCATACGACGAAACGCAACGCAAGCGTCGTTTCACATCGGTCTTCTGAGAGGCCGTGGTATCACTCGAGCCCATTCACACTTACAAGTCCGGTTATGTATTCATTTCGTCCATTAATCTGTTTTATCTCTTGCATTATAATTTACACTTCATGCTGTAGGTATGATGCAGTGTGTTAGATAAACGCAGTCACCAAGTGTCTGTCAAGTCATATAAGATTTGCATCTGACAATCTCTTTACTATATCGAATACTTACCTTATCATTAGAGATATTTATATGACATCTGAATTTAACAGATCTTGTATTTTTTTTCCTGTTTTTAACCGACTTTAAAGAGAGAAGGAGGTTCTATGTTTGTTTGTTTGTATGTACGTTTGTAATCGATTATCTAGTGATTGGCTGAACCGATTTCGATTGGGTTTTCAGAAAAGTGTTTGCTACACTTAGGAGAAGGTTTCAGTATATTAATTAACCGACTTCAAGAAAGAAGGGGTTGAAGTCGATTTTGTTTTTAACGTAGTACCTATGTACATAAGTTCACACGGCTACACGTCGAGCTTTACATAACCAGTATAAACTGAACGTTAAATGTGCGGAAAGATGATGCGACGCGACACCAGGATAAACTGGTTTTGTATAGATTGATGTGTGGCCGGGTGTACAAGAATTATTATTAATAGGTTTTATGAAAGTATGTATTATAGGTACTCCTATTACATGGGGCTAAATCGATTTGGGTGAAATTTGGTGGGAAGGTAGCTTAGAACCAGGAGACGGACATAGGATTAGGATAGACTTTTTAACCAATACTTTTTTAATTTTATCTAAAATCACGTACAAGAACAGGAAAAAAGTCGAGCGGCCCGCCTGGAACATACCGCTAACGCCTACTCCCGCCCATACAGCGGAAACCTTCATCAACATTTAACTATTACACATAATCCCTTAATAACCGTAAAATAATTTAGACAAAGAAAAACAAAAGAACATTAATTAAACTTACAGGCTAATTAATACATTTACACAAAACCATTTTTGACTTTGACTTTGACTTAGTATAGCTCACATGCTTACGACCACTCGGTAGATAAATAAACATACAAAAATAGCCTATAAAACATTGTAATAAGTATCTGAGACGATAGAATAGGTTAAATTATTATCTAATCAGTTACTTGAAATGGCTAAGTGTTACACGCTTAAATATAGGATGGGTTTCGACCATTTTTTTACAGTAACATACTTACATAACATCTCGCCTTTTATCACCAAAGGGGTACGCAGAAGGTGTATATTATGCCACTGTACAATGTAACACCGGGCACAATTCCAGACTCCGTGCTAATACTGAGATTTTTTTTAAACCCTATATTACTTTGCTCGACCCGGGAATCGAACCCGAGACCCAGACGACGAGTTTTTTACAATATTACTAATTAAATGTGTTTATTAAATTGTAGCGCGATCTTCTTCCAGACGGTTGCTGACCATCTTTTGGTTTTCCCCATCAATAACGTCTCTACGATCTATGTCGCATTTTTTTTATGGGAGAAGGCGGAAGAAAGCTATTTGACGGATCACCTGATGGTAAGCAATCGGCGCCACCCATGGACACTTGGAACACCAGAGGCGTTACAAGTGCGTTACCGACCTTTTGGGGATCAGGAAGTTTGAGGATTGTTGGGAATTCAGGGATTGAAGAGATTGGGGAAGGGGTGGAGGGGGGAGGGGGTATTCGGGTCTCTATTGTTTCACGTCGATTTTCTGTGAGGCCGTGGTATAACTCCAGTCGAGTCGGAAACACACTGTCATAATACACGATTACACTACACTGTCGTAATATATATTAATCACTTGATATATCGTACCGAGAATCCCCAAAATTTGTTCATACAAAAGTAGTCTCTAATCATCGGAAATAAATATATAATGAAGTTAGTGGACAGCGGTCACCGGGGACCACATCTCATCTTATACTTTCACTTTATTATTATATAAAGCGAAAGAGTTTCTTTGTTTGTTTGTTTGAACGCGCTAATCTCCGGAACTACAAGTTTGATTTGAATAATTCTTTTTGTCTTGGATAGCGCATTTATCGAGGATGGCTATAAGCTATAAACATCACGCTACGACCAATAGGAGCTGAGCAGAGCGTGTGAAACCGCGCGGAAGTAGCTAGTGGATCCCCACAATATATCCATATTGACACAATAGAATGACAATTGTTCGATTTTGCGGAATTCCAACACACCTGACATTTATCTATGCCTATGATACATCACATCTCAGATAGCTCAAGTGTTTTGCAAATGAGATAAAAAGATGTACAGAGGTTGGGACGACCATATGTCAGTGTGAAAAAAGCTTACTGCTTATACAGTCGGTATGAAGTCATTAGTTTTATGGTACGTGGACAAAACTTGGATTTTTGCACAACTATGGCCAGGAGCTCGCTTTCTGATATTTGAGGTTCATAATGTGACTGCTAAAAAATTGGTGTTATATTAAATGTTCCAGTTTGTTGGCTGTAGCCTGCCACGGCTCGACTGTGAGGCAGCAGCGTCGGTTCCCTGATGACTTCCTCTTTGGAACCGCCACAGCCGCCTACCAGATCGAGGGAGGATGGAATACCGATGGTAAGTCTGTAAAAAGTTCAAATTTTAATGATACTGTCTATATCTTTCATCATAAACAATAATGAGGTATTTTATATGATTCCAGGAAAAGGTGAAAGCATTTGGGACAGGCTGGTCCATACAAACCCCACAGTCATACAAGACTTAACGAACGGTGACGTCGCTGCTGACTCCTACCACAACTACAAGCGTGATGTCGAGATGATGAGGGAGTTAGGCCTGGACGCTTACAGGTTCTCACTCTCTTGGTCTCGGATCCTCCCTACTGGCATGGCCAATGAGGTCAACCCAGCTGGCGTCGCCTACTACAATAACCTCATCGATGAAATGTTGAAATATAATATCACTCCGTTGGTAACTCTCTACCACTGGGATCTTCCACAAAAACTGCAAGACTTGGGTGGATTTATGAATCCCTTGTTCACTGATTGGTTTGAGGACTACGCGAGGATTGTTTTCGAGAACTTTGGAGACAGGGTCAAGATGTTCATTACATTCAACGAGCCGAGAGAGATCTGCTTTGAAGGTCTTGAAGATATGAACAAAGCTCCTCTTCTGAATACCACCGGTATCGGTGTTTACTTGTGTGCTAAGCATTTGGTTTTAGCAAACGCAAGAGCTTACCATTTATATAACAATGAGTTCAAGCCGATCCAGGGAGGTCAGTGTGGTATTACAATCAGTGTGAACTGGTTTGAAGCAGATACTGATTCTGATGAAGATTTGGCAGCTGCTGAGCTTATGAGACAGGCACAGGTTAGTTAATTTTATGGATAGCCTAAGAACTAACGCAGATTGAGGTTAACGAAACTAGACTTACAAAGTGTTTGAATTCACACAAATGTATATATTGTCTTCTTCTTTCTAGTGGGGCATCTACGCTGAACCTATATTCTCTTCTGAAGGTGGTTTCCCAAAGGAGTTTTCGCAAAGAATAGCCGAAAAAAGTACACAACAAGGATTCTCTCGCTCTCGTCTGCCAGAGTTCACTGAAGAGGAGAAAGCTTATGTCAAGGGATCGTCAGATTTCTTCGGAGTAAACCATTATACGACGGTGAAGGTGTCAGCGAGGAAACACAAAGCATTTTTCTCAGCGCCATCTTTGATGGACGATGTAGATGTTGGCACATATATGCCTGAGGAGTATGCTGCATCAGCTTCTCCTTGGTTAAAAGTAAGTGTCTTTAGGATTGAATTTGATCTTTGAAGTATTTTGCACAAATTGCCTAAACAATAGCTCGAGATGTTCCATCTTATCTATGAAAAATATACCACTTACTTGGCAATCTTTATCACTGTGCAAAATTGTCATATCACGAATTACAAAACGATGTAAAAACTTACATAGTGATATATGCCGCCCGAAAACGAATAGAGCGCCATATACTTCTCATTTTCAGATTTAGGCATGACTAAGCAATAAAAAAAACAAAGTCAAAGTCAAAAACACATTTATTTCAATTAGAACAGAAAGGCACTTTTGAAAGTCAACAAAAAAATTAAAAGGGAAGCTATTTGCTCATTCCAAGGTGCAGATTCCTATGTAGGAGAACGAGAAAAAAACTCCATAGGTTACTCTTTTTCAATTAGGTTCACAATACAATTTTCTAGTTACATAGTTTTGTTGTTTGGATTGTGCGAGAACAATATAACACTAAAATCCAGTCAAAGAGATCGAAAACGAAAATAACGTTAAAGACAATAAATTTAACTTATTGTATATTCAACATGTTCAGAACTAATTTCTACTATATCCACAGTTGGCTCCCAACAGCATCTACAACGCCTTAATCCACCTGAACGAGAAGTACAATAGCCCAACGTTCTACATCACAGAGAATGGATGGTCCACATACCCTGACAGTGGCCTGATTGACGATGACAGGATCACATACTTCAGAGCTGCTTGGGAGAGTGCGCTAAACACTCTGGACGCGGGAGTTAACCTCAAAGGGTATATGGTGTGGAGTCTGTTGGATAACATGGAATGGCTGGAAGGTTACATGTAAGTCCTTTGTCATAGTTGAAGACTTCAAAATAGTAATAAGCTTTATATGATCATCATCAGCGGAAAGTGCCGAATGATGATACAGGTCTGCCTTTTAAAAGAAGCGTTTGGTTTAATAAACGTAGTGGCCCAGTGGTATAGACGCCCTATTCTCAAGCATGAATGTACGGGTTTCAAAATCTAACAACGGCAAGTACCAAGGTGGCTTATCCGAAGTTCTATGTACTTTCTAAGATTACTAAGACACCACTGACAAAGTTGAAGGAAAACATCGTGAGGAAACCTGGGGGGCTTACTATTGAATCCAAGTCCGATCGATCGACATTGGTATTGTGAAATTTCGTACTCTCGAGTTGCAACAGTAGCGCCCATTGCATTTGTATTGCGTGGATATTTAATGAACTCAATGGTATTGAGTTTGGCAATAAATTCCGTATTCTAAATGCTACTTTGACAGCTACGATAGGGCTACGATAGTATTGACATTGGACAATTATTGAGATTTTATTGGATTGAAATTGCATTGACATTGAGATTGGTTTCAAGAGTAAGCAACCTGGACTAATAATTTCTAATTATAAGTTTGAAATCAGCAACCCGCATTGACAAAGTGTTGTGATTAATGCTCAAACCTTCTCCTTGTTAGAAGAGGCATTGCTCAGCAGTGGACACTTATAGGTGTTGACGCTACCTACTATTTAAAATCGGTTCTCATTTTTCCACAGAGCATGTTTCGGCCTGTACCAAGTGGACTACGAAGACCCAGCTCGCACACGCACCGCTAGGAAGTCGGCGTTTGTCTACAAGCACCTCATCAAGAATCGTTTTATTGATTACGAATATGAACCTGAGTCTTTGACCATGACTATTGATGATGGATTTTAATACTTAACAATTACATTATTAAAACTTTATTTCAATAAATATCAGTTTGGTTTTTGTTTTTCTTTAGTGTGTTCGTACACACCCTCACATTAAAAGTTGGACAAAATCAAGAGTTTATTTATTTTAAGGATTGGGGAGACGATTGTGGATTAATAAATTGGGCCTCCGGTAACCTCACTCACACAACGAAACAATGCAAGCGTTGTTTCACGTCGGTTTTCTGTGAGGCCATGGTATCACTCTGGTCAAGCCGGCCCATTCCAGGAACTCGACTAGTTTCAAGTCATGCTAGAGGCTCACATTTATGAATAGCATTCCTATTTCCGCGACACACGAATGGAATGAAACATGATAATTAATTTCGTAATATAATGTAATACGTGTTATAACACAAATAACTATCTAAACAGTTCAAATTTGACTGTTGGCCTTAGACCGATACTACGATAGATAAAATTATTGACATCATTATTAAAAGTATACTTTACCGTATGTATTTATATTATTGGTCATAATTCTTCAACTGGGGAACGGTTTTTGATAAATATTCTTTTGTTTTCTTGGTATAGTGTACGTATGTGTAATTTGTACATTTATTTATGATGTTTTGAATAAGATTTTAAGTGATTAAAGTGCTAGTTTGTAGTGTGTGTTTTGTGGCAAGATGTTAGTGATTTTTGTGTAAGTACCTACTGTTACTCTGGGCGACTTCGAACTTAAGAGAAAAACCACATTGGAGTAACATATGAGTTTATAGACTAGTGTAATACACAATGAAGTATACTGGACTATACTAACAGATGCGCTTTAGCCTAGTGAATGACTGTATCGACTCGGCCTAGATCAGGAATTTGGGCTGAAACCAATAAGTTAGGCTAGATCCGAAAATTCTATCAGCACCTTAGTCTAGACTACACTGAATTCGGGAAAATAATAAGTATTTATAGAAAATAATTGTTAATGTACCATTTTGTAGTTGAGCATTACGGCTAGACTGCAAGTCAGCGATGTAGTAAACACTATTATTAGGGTTCTTACAGTATGTTGCTTTTTATTATTATTAAAAATATCCAACTGGTAATATTTATGATATAATAGTCGAAATTCTTTAAAAAATTTCACTCTATTTACTCCCTTTTTACGCAAATATTTTTAATTGCATTGTATCCATAAATTGTTATGTCCAAATCGAACTCAAAGGCCATAAAAACTGGAGTAGGAATGGTCTGTCTCTCTTTGGAGAAGTCATTGAATGATTCTCACCCCTCAGGCACACTAAATAAAAGCCTTAAACTTGACAATTTGTCGCGGAGAACCTAACGGGTAACCGAGGCTCCGGCTCGACGTGCAGGAGAAGGAACGGGTTGGTTTCTACTCAGTAAGAGTCTGACACCCCCTCCCGCCTCCCCCAGACGGGAGCAGTCATTCGATTTATTTTCCCCACATAAAAAAAAACTTGCCAATTTTCCTGGCACTTACACATTTTCATCAGACTATACCATGAACAAAAATATCTATCAATTATTCAACAGTCTATTTCTATCTATCTTCACTATAATTACTTAAGTTTTCTTACACTATATTTGTAGATGCAGTTTGCTGGTGACAGCTTGCAATGGTTCCATTTTGAGAAACAGAAGGTTCCCTGATAACTTCATCTTCGGTGTGTCCACAGCTGCTTACCAGATCGAAGGAGGCTGGAATGCAGATGGTGAATTCTTGTTCCTATGCTATAAATAATAAAAATTATAAGTTTAGCTCCTTATAGGTAAAAGGGTATGAAAAAATAGAGATATTGACTTTGTCTAGAACAATAGGTTAGTTGCACAGAAAACCTGCAAACTATAGAATTAATCTACGTGACTGTAGAGGGATACAATATGTCTATAGAGTTTTTAAATGAAGTAAATTTATAAGTTTACATTACCTTTACCTTTGAACAGGAAGGAAAAACTATATATAAATAACATCATACGGTCTGACTTGAAACTGTGTCAATACGAAACTACCTACCTTCTTATAACAATACCGTGAGACATACTAAATTAACTAAAAATCACGGGTTACTCTCGTGAATATATTGACAAGCCAGCCACAGAGGGTTCTTCTTCATGAACAGCGTGCGCGGTCGGTGCTGCCTCTTATCAAATGCGAAATATTATGAACTTCATGTGTAAATATATGAATTTTCAAAAAAAATATAGATTAATATTTTTCCAGGCAAAGGCGAAAGCATCTGGGATTACTTAACACGTACGAAGCCTACCCTAGTTAGAGACGTTTCTAACGGTAACATTGCTGCTGACTCCTATCACAACTACAAACGTGATGTCGAGATGATGAGGGAGTTAGGCCTGGACGCTTACAGGTTCTCCCTCTCCTGGCCTCGGATCCTGCCCACTGGCATGACCAATGAGGTCAACCCAGCTGGAATTGCTTACTACAACAACCTTATCAATGAGATGATGAAGTATAATATCACTCCAATCCTCGGCCTCTACCATTGGGATCTCCCTCAAAAACTTCAAGAGCTAGGAGGCTTCACTAATCCCCTAATAGTCACTTGGTTTGAGGACTACGCGAGGGTTGTCTTCAAGAGTTTTGGAGACAGGGTCAAGATGTTCATCACTTTCAATGAGCCCAGAGAGATCTGTCTTGAAGGCTATGGATCGGCTTCTAAAGCACCCATCGTAAATTCCACGGCAGTTGGAACTTATTTGTGTGCGAAGAATCTGCTGATGGCCCACGCTGCAGCTTATCATATTTATGACAAGGAGTTCAGGCCAAATCAAAATGGACTATGTGGTATTTCGATCGGCGCTCATGATTATGTTCCAGCTACTAATTCTTCTGAAGATGTTTTCGCTGTAGAAATAGCAAGGCAAGGAGAGGTAAGAAATATAATGGAGGCATACACGATTAAGCTTTAATCGGTTCTAAAGTCGTCTTTTCTATCATTATGATACCAATGACAAATGACTTATCATTAACTAAACAACAGTCGTGGTGGCCTGGAGGTTTAAGACGCCCGCTTCTCATGCATAATGTTACTTTTTTAGAGTTATATGACCTTTCTCAGATTATTTAGACACCACTGATAAACGGTGAAGGAAAACATCGTGAGGAAACCTGGGTTTATAATTTCTGATTATAAGTTTGTAATCTAGCTCTCTGCTCGAACCTTCTCCATGTGTTGGGCATTTATAGGCTGTTGATGATGATGATGATGAACTATCACAGTATAGTGGTCTGCTCTGCTCTTAGGTATGCAGTATTTAAGACATTAAGAGCAGAGCACTGCAGATAAACATGTGCGCATCTACTATTTATTTCAAATATGTATGGCCTGCAGCCCGCATCTCCGCTTTCATTTTTGTTTGTCGCTAGTCTAAAAGATATTCTTTCTCCTCAGTGGGCTATATTTGCTGATCCAATATTCTCATCTGAAGGAGGATTTCCAAAGGAGTTAGCTGAAAGAATTGCTGTAAAAAGCGCTCAGCAGGGTTACCCTCGCTCCCGTCTACCAGCATTCACTGATGAAGAAAAGGCTTTTGTCAGAGGAACTTCAGATTTCTTTGGATTAAACCATTATACTGGTTACCTGGTATCAGCTACTACGCATGCGTGGATAGGCCCTAAGCCATCTTTAGCGGACGATATGGATATTGGAATGTATAAAAATGCGTCTTGGCCTAAATCTGCTGCGTATTGGCTAGCGGTGAGTTGTACTTACCTTATTTCTTAGGACAATGAAGTCTGACGCGTTGCAGGGAGATAAAGACAGAGAGACTGTCCTGAAGCTCGCGACTAAATCGAAGATATAATTAAAGGAAAAGAAAAGCAATAGTTTACACTTCTCTCGTTTTTTAAGACAAAATGACTAGATAAAATAAAACATGTTTACAAACATAGATCATTGTACCTATAAATCATGGGGTCAGAATAATTGGGTACCTACTGTCCTTAAGCAAAAGTAAATTATTTCGACTGTAATAATCACACTTTCATTAATTGATTTTATGACCAAGTTCATTTTAGTATATTTACAGCAAATTTGTAACCAATGAGTACGCTGTTTGACGCTCAAAAAACGTGACGACACAATACACAATCTCGTACAAAATTCATAGAAAACTGTTCGTTTCGTGTGTAGTTCGAAAAAAGTATTGAATTTGAGTAGTTGGCAAAAACCCTTTACTATACGACCTTTTAAAATAACTATCGTGAGACATGCTGCATTAACTAAAAATTGCGAGTGATGCTGAAACGAGTAGGCTGCGCGACATAGCCGCGACTGCGGACACTGTTCATGTGGAAGAGTCCCTCTGTAACTCGAAACTAGTAGAGCTTTTCTCAGTATATTTACGTGTACCTTGCGTGTAACTCGCAATTTTTAGTTAAGTAGGCTACCTTTTCACCTTGGCAAAATAAAGACTACTTTAACAGTAAATATCTTTTACAGATGGCACCAAACAGTATTTACAACGTCCTGGTCCATTTGAAAACCAGATACAACAATCCAGTTATCTACGTCACGGAGAATGGATGGTGCACCAGCTGCCAAAGTGGGCTCAAAGACGATGACAGGATCAGGTATTACAGGGCTGCCTTGGAGAATGTTCTGGATGCCCTGGACGCTAGTGTTAACGTCAAAGGCTATATGGCGTGGAGTCTCATGGATAATTTCGAGTGGTTGCAGGGTTATACGTGAGTTATTTAATATTTTAATTTAGTGTTGCTAGTGATTCTGTAAAAATTCAACTTTGATTAGCTTTAATCGAATGATTAGCATAATGAAAACTGGCTTCTGATTCGATTCCCAGATGAAATAGTGTCTGTGTAATGTTATCCGACCATTTGGATTGGATGGGTTTTCGTATGTTCGGAAAATAATATAACATAACATCACGCCTTTTATCCCTGATGGGGTAGGCAGAGGTGCACATTACAGCACTTATTGCCACTATATAATGTAACACTCACTTTTCACTATTAATGTTATGAGTCCCATGTAATAGGAGGTGAGCCTATGGCCACTACTGAGATTTAAGAAAAAACCCAGTAATGATTTGCCCGACCCGGGCATCGAACTCCAGACCCCTTGCCCGGCAGTCGCGGTTGTGATCACTCGGCCAATGAGACAGTCAGTGTCCGGAAAATACCAATTAAAAATGTTTTAATGATAAGAACAACTTTTCGTGTTTTCTTTTCAGTGAATGCTACGGTTTATACCAAGTGAACTATTCGGATCCAATGCGCACGCGCACACCCAGGAAGTCAGCGTTCGTATACAAGCACATCATCAAACATCGCGCCGTGAACTACGAATACGAGCCAGAGAGCATGGTCATGACTATCGATGAGGGACACTGAATATTGATGGATGGAAAGTAAAGCCAGTGTCGTCGCAATTTTATGATTTTGGTTATTAAAAACGAATGATTATTGTTTTGTAAATATAAATAAATTGAACCAATCCTCGGTAGTTTCGGTCTCAAAATGTAATAATTATAAACTAAAATATCACACAGGCAACATACATACATAACATCACGCCTTTTATCCCCGAAGGGGTAGGCAGAGGTGTACATTGCCACTGTACAATGTAACACCCACTTTTCACTATTTATGTTATGAGTCCCATGTAATAGGGGGTGAGCCTATTGCCATATACCGGGGACAATTCCAGACTCCGTGCTACTACTGGGAATTTTTGAAAAACCCAGTAATACTTTGCCCGACCCGGGAATCGAACCCGAGACCCCTTGCCTGGCAGTCGCACTTGCAACCACTCGGACAATGAGGCAGTTTAACTTCTAAAGGAATTAAAAAAAGACAAAAATGTTGTCATAATTTTCTGAAGTACTAATTACTAGTGACCTCTATCCATAGCTCTGAGAAACAAAACGAAATACAGCGATAAGCATTAAATTAAATTACGAAGAAAAGAATGATTGACAAGAAAATTATTTTCACCTTCCAATTGTTTATAGGTTGTAGGTTTTGTGATGTTAGTACTATCAATGTGCAAGAGATGGCGTGCATGCCGCTTTAAAGGCAAGATGACTGTATTTTTGCAAATTCATGATGATGAACACTTTAGAAAAACAAGATAAAATATTATCTAACTCTCAATTTGTGAAACTTTGGAGTTGTTTACTATATTGATGAATGTGAACCAAATGGAACCGAAAAAAACTAGATTAAAGCTGTATTTATCTAGTAGGGGTAGGCAGAAGAGGTGATAAAACTGTTCTATAGAATTCAGGAAAATAGAACATAATATTATGATATAAACCTGATAGTTGTAAAAAAACTTAATTAAATATTAAATGATTTGTTGATGATCATAAGAAGACGTGATTGATCCTTCATCTCAATATTGATGCCCGGTTGAACTTTTCAAATTGTATCCGATCTGGAAGTAAACGACCGCACTTCCGAAGTCCAGGCAGGCTAACTTCCAAACAGGAATAGTAGTTATTATCAACAAAACTAAAGAAATATGTGTGAATAATGCCAGAATCAAACTAAAAAAAATGTAAACTGTCTAAATGCTTAAATAAATACACAGACGGAGTCTTCGCAATAGGGTGTCGACTACGGAACCTGAAAAAGGGCAGCCGAAATAGAACATTGACAAACTTATGATTTATTTCATCAGACGAATTTCATCACGTTCCACTCATTGGCTGAGTGCTACGATTATAGACCTAATACGTCTAGGACTTAAAGTTTACTTCAAAGTCCAAAGCAGACAGTAATTCGCTCATTTTTGTTTAAAAGACAAACGGTCATATGAATAACTACCTACTTGCGCGCGGTTTCACCCGCTCTGCTCGGCTCCTATTGGTCATAGCGAGATGTTTTACAACCTATACCCTTCCTTGATAAATGGACTATCCAACACAAAAATAATTATTCAATTCGAATCAGTAGTTTCAGAGATTTGCGCGTTCAAATAAACAAACAAAAACAAACTCTTCAGCTTTATAATATTAGTATACATTTGGAGAAGCGGATGTATATGCGCATGAACCCCCCCTTTTTTTAAGGGGGGAAAATCATCGAATGACTGCTCCCGCCTGGGTGAGGCGGGAGGTAGTGTCAGACTCTTATTGACTAAAAACCACCCCGTTCCTTCTCCTACACGTCGAGCCGGACGGTTACCCGTTAACCCCTCAAGCGTCTGTGTATAGATCAATTACTTATTCAAAATCACCCTGATAACCCTTATACATGGGTAGAAAGGAATTTGTACTTTTGTAGCCTTGATACTTGTAGAGGTAGATAAATAATTTCTCTCACTCTAGTCGTTCCCTCATGTCTGAGGATCGTGGTCAGCATCAGGATTGCATCTGGAGCGGATTTTCTGCTTCTAGCAGTTTCTGTCCAGCTCGTCTCTTACGGCCGTGCAAAAAGAACGAGTCTCTTTATTTGATCGATCCATCTCATTGGACGCCCACGCGATCTCTTGCCTTCGGTGTTCCCAAGTACAATCAACTTCTTCAGGTTCTTGCCGCCGCGCCCCTGCGGGCCGTGTGACCAAAGTACGAAAAGGTACATTGCTTTTGCAAGCATATGGTGGACAACCGAATTTTTATCCGAAGTTGAGCCAAGATCGATGCATTGGTGCGGTGAGCTTTCCAAGGTACTGTTAGCATTCGCCTCCAACACCACATTTCGAAAGCAAAAACAAATTTCGAAAATAAGTAAATACAGCTAATTTAAATGGCGAATTCTCATATCTAAAAGATATACTTCGCTTCGCTGAGCCATCGAAGTAGGTATCTAAATAGGTATTAGGTTTCGCAACCTATGCATTCGGGCTTCCAACAAGGAGATCATGCATTGAGATCATGGGATATGATATTGACTTTCAACATAATCTGTTACTGCCAATCCTGATTTGATTATACGAGTACCTATTAGGGAAAATGGTAAAGATAGATTTATATACGATTCTAAAAACAAGTTTCCTATAATCTTATCAAGAACCTGCTACCTACTACTATTACTGATAAACTTCGTTATATTTACCATAAACAGGTATATTGGTTTGTTTTTAGCACAGCGAATCTCAACTGTTTTAAATGCTGATCCCTTAGAATTGATGCGAAAAGTTTTAGAGATGATTTTTGTAAAAAAAAAAAGTTTTTGTGGATTTTTCTTATTCAAATTATTATTTTGCGGTGTTTAACCCCCATATCACTTTATCGGCCTTATAGGGCTGTGAACGGCAGATTGCAATTGCTCCATGTAAAGAAATAGGTAATATTAACCCAATTCTGGTTATTACTTAACTTCCACCATATCTAAATGGATAAAATCTAGGAGAACGAAATATAATCGATTTAAAAAATTGTTCAATTAAAAATCATAAGGAGCATGTTTTCAACAGTTGTTCACGCGAAAACGAAGTTTAAAATCCACTGACCACGTGCGAAAGTACCAACGAAGATAATATGAACGAGACGACACGTGAAGTGGTCCAGCATCCTCGAGATTTGAGATAAAATACGTCAAGATATAAACATAGTATAATGTATATAAACTGTCCAACTATTATTAGAGCTACTCAGTCGGCTTTATCGCCAATATGAAGCTGCTAGTGGTCTTGAGGTACGTTTAATATTAAGATAGCTTTTTCTTCAATAATGTCATCGTGTTTGTAATTGTTATTGGACTTATTTGTATGTTTTTTGTTACAGTTTGGTGGCGGCAGTCTGCCATGCCTCTGTCGTGAGGCAGCAGCGTCGGTTCCCTGATGATTTCCTCTTCGGAACCGCTACAGCCTCCTACCAGATTGAAGGTGCCTGGAATGAAGATGGTGAGTTACTGTCTGATAAAGTTACTGTCACTATTTGGTCTACTTTCCCGCTTTAACTTAAATATAATTTAGGTAAGGGTGAAAACATCTGGGATTACATGGTCCACAACACCCCGGAAGTCATCAGGGGTTTATCCAACGGCGACGTCGCTGCTGACTCCTACCACAACTACAAACGTGATGTCGAGATGATGAGGGAGTTAGGCCTGGACGCTTACAGGTTCTCCCTCTCCTGGTCTCGGATCCTCCCTACAGGCATGGCCAATGAGGTCAACCCAGCTGGCATCGCTTTCTACAATAACTACATTAATGAAATGCTGAAGTATAACATCACTCCTCTGATCACGCTCTACCATTGGGATCTTCCTCAAAAGCTGCAGGAGTTGGGAGGTTTCGCTAATCCCCTCATTAGCGACTGGTTCGAAGATTACGCGAGGGTTGTATATGAGAACTTCGGTGACAGGGTTAAGATGTTCATCACTTTCAACGAGCCTAGAGAAATCTGTTTTGAGGGTTATGGAGCGGCCACCAAGGCTCCGATCCTAAACGCCACTGCGATGGGAGCTTACTTGTGTGCCAAGAACTTGGTCACTGCTCACGCTAAGGCCTACTATTTGTATGACAAGGAGTTCAGACCAGTGCAGGGTGGCCAGTGCGGTATTACCATCAGTGTAAACTGGTTTGGACCAGCCACACCGACTCCTGAAGATGAGATGGCTGCTGAACTTCGAAGACAGGGCGAGGTGAGTCTGTTCCACTTTCTAAACTATATGTTTTCATTATTAAATTCTGAAAGTTAACACTTGGTATTTGTTTGATAGTGGGGAATCTACGCTCATCCCATCTTCTCAGCTGAAGGAGGTTTCCCTAAGGAACTCTCAGATAAAATTGCCGAAAAGAGCGCTCAGCAGGGTTACCCTTGGTCACGTCTGCCAGTGTTCACTGAAGAAGAGAAGGCTTTTGTCAGAGGAACTTCAGATTTCTTCGGAGTAAACCATTACACCGCGTACCTGGTGTCAGCTACTGAACGTAAGGGTCCATACCCTGTGCCATCTTTGCTGGATGATGTGGACACTGGCTCCTTCCCTGATGATGACTGGCTCAAATCTGCGTCTGCTTGGCTTACAGTAAGTAATTTCGATTGTATGGGACTTATAAACTACGTCATTATTCTTATCATCATAAGAATGAATTGACAACAAGAATAAGAAACCAAAGAAGTTTAAAAAGAATTTCTTTGTAGGTGTCGTAATTTTAATTTAATCATCAAATATTGTTCGTCCGTTCGTGCCTGTAGCATTTTCGTCTACTCCTAAAAACTCATCATAGTCATAACTCTTATTTTATTTAATCATCTATGCTTTTACAGCTTGCACCAAACAGCATCCACACAGCGCTGACCCACCTGAACAACTTATACAACAAACCAATCTTCTACATCACCGAGAATGGCTGGTCTACCGACGAGAGCCGAGAGAATAGTCTCATTGATGACGACAGGATCCAGTACTACAGAGCTTCGATGGAGAGTCTCCTGAACTGCTTGGATGATGGTATCGACCTCAGGGGGTATATGGCTTGGAGTCTGATGGACAACTTTGAATGGATGGAGGGTTATATGTAAGTATTTCATCCATATAATGATGGACAACAGCGTCCTGTACACACTAGAACTAATTGCTATTGCACTAGTCAGGTTTTGGCATTCTCTTCCTAAAGTTAAAGGCCTTAGTTTAGTGAACATCTTTCACTTTTTGAGGCTCATTACATTTAAATGTATTCCATTTTACTCCCTTATCTTCCAATCAACGTTTTTGTTGAGAGTGGTAGGCATATGTATGTACTAGCTACATCCGCGCGGTTTCACACGCTCTGCTCAGCTCCTATTGGTCGTAGCGTGCTGTTTTATAGCCTATAACCATCCTCGATAAATGCGCTATCCGACACAAAAAGAAGTATTCAAATCAGACTTGTAGTTACGGAGATTAACGCGTTCAAACCAACAATCAAACCAACAAAAAAACAAACTCTTCCACTTTACTATATAATAGTATAAGATTAGTAATATTATGATGTGTATATGACTATAAATCAAGTAATCAACTTTTATCTACTTTAGACTGACAGACAGTCAGATATTTGTTAATTTTGACTGTATCAAAATCAACATTTTAATGGACATTTTCGTTCAACAGTGAGCGTTTTGGCCTGTACGAAGTGGACTTCTCAGACCCTGCGCGCACGCGCACACCCAGGAAGGCAGCGTTCGTGTACAAGCACATCATCAAACATCGCGCCGTGGACTATGAATACGAGCCAGAGAGCATGGTCATGACTATCGATGAGGGACACTGATTGAACGTTATTTTAAAAATGTAATATGGCTTACTGAGTCTGACTGACTGGTTTATTTATTTTTGACTGTTAATCGTAATATAATGAATTGAAATTATTATGAGATTGTTTCATTCTCTTTGTGTTTTAAATATATTATTTAAATATATAGGATCTCCAACAAAAGATATAGACAACACATGCCATGAAAATCATACAAAATTTTAAGTTAGGTAGTTATCTAACCTAAAATTATGTATTTACAAACTTTTAAAGTTTTTGTCTTCTTACATCAAGGGAGTGTAAGTATACTCCCATGAGTGTAGAGTGAGACAGAAACTGTAGAAGTATTTTTTTAAGGGGGGAAAATCATCGAATGACTGCTCCCGCCTGGGTGAGGCGGGAGGGAGTGTCAGACTCTTACTGACTAAAAACCACCCCGTTCCTTCTCCTGCACGTCGAGCCGGAGCCCCGGTTACCCGTTAGGTTCTCCGCGACTAACTGTAGAAGTATAGACCACCATCTACTTCGTTTATATCCATCTACATAATATACATATACTTAATTATTCCATGCCATTAAATATTGAATAATTCTTTTGTACCTAATCTACGTATAAAATAACTGATTTCAACATGCGCTTTTTTTTGAAGTCGGTTAATTAATATACCTACTAAAAGATTCTCCAAAACGTAAAAAACGCTTGTCTGAAAACTGCATCAACAGCCGTTCAGCCAATCGCGAGATAATCGCGCACAATTATACATACGTACAGATCAAACTGAGAACTGTGTTATTATCTACTGAGAAGTTTTCGAAAAGCCGAAAATCCACCGTTAACACATATCAATATTTATTATTTATAGATAGTTGCTAGATTGAATTTAACTATTAACCAAAAATTACGGGTTACGCATTGAATATACTGAGAAAAGCTCTACTAGTTTCGAGTCAGTTCTTCAGTCTGCTAGTTTGTCACAGAGGTACTCTTCCCCCCATCACATCCGCGCTCTAAGCTAGACACGGACTGCGGACATCGCCGCGACCTCGCACGCTGCTCACGAGGAAGAGACTATGACTCGATCTAGTAGAGCTTTTCTCAGTACACTCACGTGAATAACTCATCATTTTTAGTTGATTCAGTGTGTCTCATGAATATTTAATGTAATAAAAAACCGACTTCAAAAAACCAAGAACTAATAACAAACAAAATATCAACACGTAACTATTATTGGTACTGATAGGTTACTCACCTACTGATAGGTTAGAAGCCGGCGCCATAAGCTCGTGTAATAGAACATAGTACCTCTACCTTTTTTTGAAGTTGGTAAAACATGAAATTAACTAGTACCTACCGGACTGCACAGTTAGTGCGGTGGCTGGGCAACCGCCTGCCGTGCAACGTGTCGCGGGTTTGATTCCCGCACGGAACAACACTTTGTGTGATCCACAAATTGTTGTTACGGGTCTGGGTATCATGTATGTGACTCCTCTGGTGTTGCGGGTGTCCATGGGTGGCGCTGATCGCTTACCATCAGGTGATCAGTCTGCTCGTTTGCCTTCTATTCCATAAAAAAAAAACATTATGAAATCATTGTAATGATTCCATTATTATAATATATTAAAATATAACTAAAATATAAAGTCAAAGTCAAAGTATTTATTTCAATTAAACCATAATTTGGTACTTTTGAAACGTCAACAAATACAAAATAAATAATAGTCTGTCAGTCCGTCAGTGAAGCTAGGTGCTCATTCCAAAATATAGATTCGAATGGAAAAGAACGAGCAAGAAACTCCATTCGTTACTCTTTTTAAAGAAGTATGTTCTACAATGTCTCTGATACATATTCCAATACAGTACGTAACTATATGTGAGAACAATGCAAAGACACGCTTGACGCATTATAGATACTAATTACAAACCTTACTAAAATAAAAAAATCTTATAGTCTAACATGGTACTCACATATTACATACTGACAATCATATACCTAAATATTTGCGGTTTCATTTAGAATCAAAATAGTAATCTATCAGGTGTTGTGACAGGCATCCATAGGAGGTCCTATCCTGTCCTGTCAAAACAAACTCAATGACTACACAATTGAAATATTTATCAATACACGTGCGAATTTTCCGTCAAACTTGAATGACTTAATGACGTCAGTAGGCATATTAATGTAAGTTATACAACACATGAAATGATATTGTATCTATCTATGTCACTGTCAAAGTTTGAGCTACAGTAAATCTTAAGTCCTTCTAGTAGAACTTGAGTTTCAATAATTTTTAACTCTGTAAAATGTACTTTTTTTTAAGGGGGGAAAATCATCGAATGTCTGCTCCCGCCTCACCCAGGCGGGAGCAGACATTCGATGATTGGCGCTTTGAGGCGCGCGCGGAACGCTCGGCGCCGTACGCTCGGGTCTGTTTCTGGTCGGACCCCGGAGCCACCCGCCGTCCGCGGGCCCGCGCTGTAAAATGTACTTAGATACGTAGTTACTACTTTAATGAATTGATTTCGAAGAAATACATTTTATTTTTTCCATAACAAAGTGTCTTCGTATATTCATTAAAAATTTACCATAAATTACATTTTTAAATACCTACTACTTCACAAAAAATAAAATAAAATAATATTTAAAAATATAAGCCGACCAGTAGCGGGAGCATGGTCCAAACTACCGGTGGTTAGTGCTCCAGTGACAGAAACCTCCTCACAATACGTGCCATTCCAACTACCTTCTGTATCAGGTCCTTAATCCATCCACCTAACGCCAGCCTCCTGAGACGGATGTTGAGGCTTTTAGAGATTAACCCATTGGCCGACACGACTATCGGCATAATGATAGCCAAATTCGCACTCCACAACCTCGTGAGCTAAGTCTAGATATTTTAACAAAGTATTATTATAAGGATTAGAGTTAAAAATCCCTTATTCGGCTAAGAAAATTAGTGACGAAAATAATGTATACCACTTTACTTTTACTACAGGTCTTGGTAGCTTAGCTTTTAGTAAGACCCAAGACATGCGGATTGCTACATTTCACAGTCACATGAATAGTTTGTACAATCAACTTAGGATGGAAATATTTTGTTTTTCGTAAACATGTCAACATTAGTTTATCTTTGGCATCTTTGGCGAACCCTGTTTACATTTGGGACGGTTCTAATGGTTCCGTATGTATAAGTAAATAAGTTATTTTAAGTCATGTTGACTAACTGAGAAAGGGTCTAATAATGTTTTAGCGTGTTCTAAACAGTAGACGTCATTTACTCCATGTATTGTACTGGGTATGTATATTAATCATT